TTTGGTCCATATCAGATTGTGATCTGCTGTGATTGGACTTTGAGCTTGTGGCATTGGATAGCTAGCTTAGAGGTAAGCTTTCGTGTCCTCGGTTTAGCCATGTTGTGGTTCCACCATGTCTCATGGGGATATGGTATATGCATGCTGTGTTACATGCTTTTGATGTTTTGGAAATGCTGTTGAGCTATGGTATGTTAGTGCCTTGTTGATATGCATGGAGGTGTTCCACCTATACGGTAATCCTGAGTATGTAGAACATACAAGAGGGTGAGACTGTGGGTGAGGTGCAAGCGGTGTTCCTTGTACTACATGTAGGGAATAGACGTATTCCTACATTTCTCTGGCCAGTAGATAGTGATTACACACATGCCATAGATATCTGTTGCACTACATAGTTTTGGAACTGATAATGATATAAATGCTTTTAGAACTTATATTGCACATGTAAGTGAGATTGGGGTGGAAGATCCTTGAGGACCCCTTGTCTTACTGAGATTTCTTGTTTAGAGATCTCACCCCACGTTTGGGGAATGCTTATTGCAGGGTCAGGTAATGTTGAGACCTCAGGCGGCAGGAGGCCGGAGTTGAGTTAGATTGCTGTTATATTTTGCTGCCATGATTGGATGCTGGATATGCATGCTTCTTATATGCTTATAGCTTCAGTTTATGGTTATGGAGTTTTGTGTTGAGACTGGTTGTTTACTGTGTTTATTTAGTGAGCATGGGGATTGTCCATGACACATAGTGTTGTTATGTCTTGAGTCTTTGGAGTTGTAATAATGTATCAGGATATTGTCCGGATTACGAGATGTAATGCCGTGATTTAGATACACACTTTATTTATATATTGAGGTATTTCAGTAGATGTCTTATTGCAATTTACATACAGACTATATTTTATGAAATTGATTAAGTAATCAAGTTGGTAATTGATAATGACGTCATAATTGAAAAGAAAAAGAATATTCCGTATTTTTAATTAAGCACCGCTTAATACGATGTAATGTTAATATTCCGAGTATACACGGGGTATTACACTCTTGGCCTTGCTCGCTATGCAGACATCCTCAATGTCCTTACACTGCTGAACCAGTGTACCAAAGTCCCTCGAAGCAGCTCCAGCAATATGCTCAACAATCACCTCACTAAGTCCTCTACGGAACTTAGCAGCCAGAAACATCGGAGTAGGAGGAACCATCCGGAAGTGCGCAATCTTCACCAGCTCATTAAACTTGGCCAGGTACTCGTCAACAGTCATCGAGCCCTGAACCAATCTATCAAACTCCCCCTGCTTCCTCTCCTGCGCATCGTAGGGAAAGTATCTGCCCAGAAAGCACTCCTCAAAGAATGGCCACGTCAAGACACGACCATGCATCTCATAAGTACGAGAGGTGTTCGTCCACCACTCATGGGCATCGCCCTCCAGCATGCAAGTCGAGAACATCAGCTTCTGTGGGTCTGTACACTGCATGACCCGAAATATCTTGTCCAGCGACTCCAGCCATCTCGCTGCAGCAATAGGATCCAAAGAACCTTCAAACACAGGTGGCTTATGCTTCCTGAAAGCATTCAGCCGGCGATCTATCACATCACGATCCTCAGCAGGCTCTACAAGAGTCTCCCCCTGAAAGCATTCAGCCGGCGATCTATCACATCACGATCCTCAGCAGGCTCTACAAGAGTCTCCCTCGTCTCAGCAACATGAGCAGCACTGCCAATGTGACTCAGGCTCTCATCCTAAACACTAGGTGGAGGCGGCGGCGGTGGTGCCTGGCCTACAGCAGGACCAGCCCTCATCTCCTCCAACATGACTCTCATCATCGTCATGTTCGCCATCCTGTTCGCCTCGAGGACATCCTCAGTGGTCCTCCGGTTTGCTTCACGAACCTCTTCTGCGGCTATCCGGTTCGCCTCGCGAACAACATCCATCATTGCCGCATTGGCCAATCTAGTGGCCTCCTGATCGGTTAACCTAGCTGCATGCATCTCAGCCAATGCAATCAGGATAGGATCGGGTTGATCCTCAGAAGTCTCTCGTGTTCTCCCGGACCTTACCATGACTCTGCACAAGTTACACAGATTATGAGTTGATCAGGCCCACGCAATGTGATTACATATGCATTATCATAATAAAATTCGACGGAGTAAACACACAAGACAGACACAACCAAACATCCTAGCTATTGCAATACATACATGCTTTCCCTCGAACCATTGCTCTGATACCATAAATGTAACACCACGTATATATCCGGTAATGTTATCATACTATCGTATTAAGCAGCGCTTAATTAAAAATGCAGAATATCTTTTTCTTTTCAATTATGATGTCATTATCATTACCAACTTGCTTATTAATCAATTAATAAAACATAGCCTGTATGTAATTGCAATAAAACAGCTAACTGAAATACCTCATAATATAGATAATCAAAGTGTGGCTCTAGTCACGGAACTACAACAACGTAGACCGGACCATCTAACAGTTTATACAACTCCAATCTAAAAGTACTAACAAAAGTGTCATGGACAATCCCCATGCTCACTCAAATAAGGCAACATGCCCAACATCAGTCTCAACAACAACATAATTATAAATAGCGGAAAACATAAACAGCACCCAAATCCAGTCATGGCAGCAATACAGCATAATATCATAATCAGCTAAGCTCTGGCCTCCTGCCGCCAGAGGCATCAGTCACCATACTACCTGAACCTGAAATAAGCATTCCCCAAACGTGGGGTGAGATCTCTAAACAAGAAATATCAGTAAGACAAGGGGTCCTCAAGGATCTTCCACCCCAAGCTCACTTACATGTGCAATATAAGTTCAAAAGCAGTTTATCATCATCAGTTCTAAAATAGTGCAATGCAGCAGATAATCATGTCATGTGTGTCAATTCTATTCTACTGGACAGAGAAATGCAGGATTTATATACGCCAAATACCCACACATAGTGCAAGACGCCACTTGCATTCACCCCGGATCACCATATCGTATGACGCCACATACTCAGGTTTATCGTCAAGATGAAACAACACATGCATATTAAAAGCCATTACACATAAAGCTCAACAGCATTTCAAATATTCAAAGCATGTAACGCAGCATGCATATAACCACACCCCCATGGGACATGGTGAAACCACAACATGGCTAAACCGAGGACAGGAAAGCTTACCTTGCAAGCTAACACCCAAAGCCAAGAGTCCACCGCTCAAAGTCCAAACACAGCAGATTCACAATCTGTTATGGACCAATATTATATCAATAATAATGCACCACAAGCATATAACTTAAAGACAACGCCTTTCCTTTACGTTTTACGTCTTAAGGCTCCATACCAAGCCATAAGCCCTTAATCACTTGATTCTGACTTAGTTCATTAATTACAGAAGTTCAACTTCATCAATCTAGGGTCCACAAACCCCCAATAGCCTACTGTACACACAACACAACTACTGTTCTACGAAATCCCAGAATATCTGGATATTCCTCGGGACCATATCCGGATATGCAATATCCGGATATTTCACTGTACATATCCGGATATACAATATCCGGATATCCAGATTCCCATATCCGGATATCCAAATCCCATATCCGGATATCACATATCCGGATATTCCTGGGGCAGATATCCGGATATTTCACGACAGAATGCAGAAATTGCATTTCGTGAAGATATCCTTCCAAGGTTGGGTTTTTACCGATTTTAAACACCTAAACATGCATTTCTAGGTGTGTTTGACATTACCCAACGTTATGTTATCATCTTTTAACCTTTACATGCATCAAGGTTCCATTTTTAAGCATAAAACTCATGATCAAAGGGTGGTACAACATACCAAGGCTCAAAACTCAGAACCAAAAGGCCCTTGGAGCTCACCAACAGTCCCTCAACCTCTGACTAGGACAGAACACGAAAATGCTAGCACAAGATGGTTCCTTTCTTCACAAAGGTTTCTTGAAGCTTCACAAACCAAGAAGAAGGTGGCTCTCAACCCACACCCCAACTCAGCACACCCCCTGACCAGAAACAGTGACTAAAACCCCAAGCAAAGCACCCTCACACCCTCACAAAGATGATTCCCAAGTGTTTACAAGGAGAAAAGAGAAGGATCAATGCCAAAGGTCCCAACTTGGCTCAAGAGAAGGTGAAGGAACCAAGGAGAACAGTTCTGGTCAGCCACCAACACAAACTCACGCAGCCAATTCTGTTTTCTAGGGTATTGTGCCCTTAAAGAGGGTATATATAGCCCACTCACAGATTAACACGCAGTATTAACTTTAATTGTTACGCCTTGCATTTTAATTTCAAACTTTGGAATCTGAAACTACACATTTTTCCAAGAATTATCATATTTTTCTTATAATTTGCGGAGCACCTTTCCGGTACGCGCTTTTCAAAGCCAGTACCAGTTTCTAGCACCATTTCTCATTATTTGGACTTGAAACTCGTTTTACATGTCCTACATATTAATTATCATGCACTTATTATAATTTTTCGGTATACTTTTTCGGTACGCATTTATACCGACTAGCAGAACCGGTATCTGCACATTTCGTCAGAAAAACGACTTTCAGCATTGTTACTCACTTACTATAATTATTAGAGCCTCATAATAATTATTAGGGTCAATTATGGAATCATTTCCTAATTTTTCATAATTAATTAATTAAAATTCCTTAATTAACGGTGCAGGTTCTTACACCTTCCCCCGTAGAGTATGATCATGTATCCCTCTTAACTTTATGCTCGAATCCGGGATGGGTTGATCCAGTCCAAACTGTCGCATGCACCTATCCGGCTGACATGCCTCTACGGTGTGGAAGTAAATAAGGGGACTGACAACAAGCCAGAGGTACTGCTGGTGGTCAGTCACGTCCAGCCACTGATAATCGATATATGGTTGCCAGACCACCTACACATAAAATGAAATTTGAATATAAGGAGTTTCAAATTAATATACAACAAACTAAGTAAGGACCACCTTACCTCATCTCTACAAAGTGTATCCAATGTAGCCCGATAATGAGTGACCTCATGAGGTTTAAACTTTGCCACTGTATTAAACCTGTCATCAGAAACATACATCAGGAATCATAATCAATAAGTATACAGATAGTATATATGATAAATCATTAGCAAAATTTAATATGTTTAACTAAGCATACTGGCATCCATAATGCGTGTCTGGCTCTGGATGAGGAGGAAGCAGCGGAGCAATAGGTGGGAATCGTATCCATGCCCAGATCTGAAGGAGAATATGGCAACCACCCATGTCAGATTGACCGACATCTGTCAATTCACACAAATTCCTGAAAAGGTGTGACAGAACCGCAAATCCCCAGCTGTATCGGCCAATATCATAAAATCCTCCCCCAAGCATCGGGACTAGCCGACAACCGAAATTGCTGCCTCCAGACTTGTCCGCCAGCAACCAAGAACCCAGCATCCTGGCAATGTGCGCCTTTGTGAAGTAGATCTCGACATCATGATCCCCAGAATGATCAGTCCACCGGGTATATAACCGATCTAAGTATGAGATACGCAAGTCGCCTGAATTATGGAACTCATTTGGTTGTGGAACCACCCCAAATACAGCCCCACAAGCAGCGGGCCAATCCTCAGAGTTGGATCCGGTGACAACATCCCCGTCAGTAGGCAAGCCCAATATACCTGCCATATCTTGCAAGGTGATAGTCATCTCTCCTTGTGTCATGTGGAAAGTATGTGTCTCTGGTCTCCACCTCTCCACCAGAGCACTAATTAAAGGGGCATCCATCTGTGATAAAATATGCATTTAGAGCATGTTAATTTATGGTATTGAATAATTACATAAATACAAAACAACGTAAATTGCATACCTGAATACGTCGCATCCGGGCAATATGTATGAATCCGGCCTGTGTCAGGTAGTCTGCGAGTACCTCTGGGATAGCGCCGGTAGGTGGCCCCCCACATGGCTTCCCACGCCTGGTCTTTATTTTTCTGACATGCTCCGTATTCCACACTCGCTGTGAAATATGAGCACGCTGCGTCCTCTTACAAAGGACGTCCCATCTGTACGGCCCAGGTATGATGTACATGCTGGGATCGTTAGGCTCTACATCCGATGCAGAACCCGATGAAGATGATGACTCAGCCATTACCCTCAACTATATCATATAAAACAACATTTAAATTAATCACAAGTAATGCCCCATTTTATTTACAAATTAATTTAGCAATGCCATAATTTATTATCAAAAAATTTAAGCATATACGTCATTTAATTTACTAGATTCAAAATTAATATGATAATGTTAATACATAGTACAGTCATTTATTTGTAATTAAGTAATAAAAAACATTGGACAAAATTAATGTTATACTTACTGAAAACTTAACCCTAGGTCACTAATAACTTCATAAATATGTACTAATTATGACGCATCTCCCGCATTAATAACATCATACATACAAAATTTATAAAGTCGCTATCACTATTTTCCAATTAACTAATTAATACACTAGATCCTAATGCATAGTTAAATATTAATAATACTAACTACGTAACATAAAAAGGGAAGTATCATTACAACATTCATAGCATTGCACAAGATTTATAAGTGACTATCCTAATGTTCTAAGTCTCTAATATACGATCAATCCTAACAACATGTATTGCTAACTAGCACCGTAATTTAAACGTATACATTGGAGGTATTACGACCTTACCTAAGTCGGCAGAGCTTCGCTACGAACCGTGGTTAGAGAGAGGTTAGAGAGTGGTGAATGAGTGAGGAGTGAAAAGGAAAGTGGGGGTATTTATACTATTGCACAATGTGACGCCCCTTTTGGGTGTCACATGTGACGCCCCATTGGGGCGTCTTCTCCTTCATGAGAGACCCTCAATGGGGCGTCAGAGACGCCTCAATGGGGCGTCACATTATACAATAGATCTGTAAATACTCTCCAAACTGTAATAAATGCGTAATTATTTAATTAAATTGCAATAAATAAATTTTTTTGCCTCGTTTTACTCTTTATTTGATTCTATTTTTCATTCCACACTTCATAGTAAAATCCTTTTTCCAAATTACACAAACCCTATAAAATAATCTTTCCTAATTAATGACATACCTTACACTAGAGTGCTAGACCCACCACAAGGAACATGAAACAGGCATCTGAATTTTATTGACTTTTTTTTTATTCAGTGTTCCCCGAGAACTTGAATTTATTTCTTTATTTCAAGTTTTCTCACAAAATAGAAAAAAATTCATGTTTGAGGAAATTTGTGAAAATATGAGTAATTTTTTTAACTTGAATCTTAATATAATTGAACTCTGCATCTTCGACACATTCTCTAGTAAAATGAATCTTGGAGTCTATTTGCATGCTTCAGTAATGGTACATATATCTCCCGTAACGATTGTATTTTTTATAACTTTGGCAAAACAACTATGCTAGAAAAGAGTCTAGCATCTTTGTTACCTATTTAGTTGTATGTATTAATTATGTATTTATGCATATAAATCTTAGTTTATGAACAATAAATAATTTTTTTGAAAAAAAATAATATATAGATTCATTAAACCAATATTATTAAATTCAGAACGATCAGGACTCAATTGAGGTATTATTTTAATGGGTTGTTATCATTGGTTGAATAGTTTCAACTGAATTTATATAAAAATTTATAATAAATATATGCGATGGTTATATTTACAACTTAATTGGTTTACAAACTCTTACAATCAAATTTTAATAATTGATTTTCATCGATCGAACGGTTATAATTTATTATATTACACTTACTAATTAATTAATAATTTTTAATAAATTATAACCGTTAAATTAACAAAAATTAACAGTTAAAATTTAGCTGTAAGAGTTTATAAATAATTTAAGTTGTAAATATAAGCATTTTCATAAATATAATAATAAAAATATTATGTCAATTAGATGACATTTGTTTAATGACAAATTTTATGCGTATATTCTCAAGTCCTTGGTTTAGGTGTGATAGTTTTCAAATATTTCACACAAAATTCTAAAAAATCCGATGATGGTTGTTTATCGGTTTGTAGTCTGGTTCATGGTTAGAGCCAGCCAATTCGATTTGATTTTAATAATACTGCATTAAACAATGACTTTATAATATAAGAAATATAACATTAAAATTAACTTCATTTAAACCGATTTGTGGACCGTTTTCTGATCGAATCAATTGGATCAGTCAGCAAGTTCAATCCGATTTTAATAACACTTCATTAAACAATGACTCTAAAATGAAAAGAAAAATCCAATATTGAAATTACCTTCATTAACACAGTACGATTTTCTATATATCCAACCCTCAGGTTATAGCCATAAAGAGGGGTATACTTAGACTTTCTCACTTTCTACATATGTCATGTCACATTTATATCACGCAACCATCAGCATTACCTATCACGGAGCAGTTGACCAAACTTCAGAAAAGGCCAATATTCGGCTCTTTTCAAAGTTGATGCCCCACTTGTTGTTGCCAATCATGGAGCATTTAATATTCAATGAGAAAACGACAATAGATCACAAAGATATATTTTGAAGAGTAAGGCTTCTTTTGAGTCTCTCATAAAAAAATATGATCTTCACTCTAGTTTTTTATAAAAAAAAACAAATTAATCTTGAAGTTTCTAAGAAATTTAAAATTGACTCATTTAATTGAAATCGCAATTCCTCTTAAATTTAAAAAAAAACTAAAATTGATCTACTTTAAATTTTATAGAGATCAGGCGACTAATTTTTTTTGTAAGAAATTAAAATGAGAACCGTGATTTTTGTTATAAACCCAAAATGGGCTTTACTCTAGTTTGAATAAGTGCTTATACTCTTTAATTTATTTTTTTAATCTATTCATCCATTACTCAACTGATCTACTTCGAATCAATAGGATTATAAGAAGGGGTTTAGTTTTCTTACGTGGTAGTTGACAAGTGAATTTTCCTGCACAAATAAGAATCAGTGGGTCTCATTACTTTTTAAAATAAAAATAAGAAAAAGAAAAAAAAACTTAACTTTTAATGTCTGAACAGGAAATACTATTCATTCTTTCTGTGGCAGAAGAATAGTATTTCCGTTATAAGAACGGTAAAACATTTCTACCAAATTTTTAATATAGTTACATATTCAGAACTCAAAATCGAAACCACTTATTAAATTAAAACAATAATATATCAATTGATTTGCGTATTTGATAATGGGAAATACTTTTCTCATGTCGTTGAAGATAGCTATCGTATGTCATACACTTATCGAATTTTGTGCCAACTTTTTCCTTTCCTTTTTTCTTTTGTTTTAAATTATGGACCCCACACATTTATTTCACACACATGAGAGAACTATCTCAAGCAACATGAGATTAGTAACTCCCTTTTGATAATAGCAAATACTTACCATTATAAGTTGTAAAGGAGTACTGCTAAAGTGCTAGAGCTTATAATTAGGGCAAATATTATAGCTCCTTAAAATCGCAGTAGGGAGCGGCCTAGGTGTCATAAGTAGTGTTTTTAAGCACAAAAATGCTAAGAGGAAATATTATGCCGAAGAACTGAACAAGACTATCAGCTTTTCTACCATGTTTCACTTTCTAGCAATAAGAAAATTTAAAGAAACCTATATGAAATAAACAATATAATCATTAACAACACTCTCAAATGTCAATACCATTTGCATTCCCAACATAATTATACAATTTTATCACAACAATAATCATTAACAACACTCAAATTATCATGTAGCAAAAAAGACTGAGAAACCTCTATACTCTCACTGGTCCATCATTAGCTTCATCATTGTTAATTGCTCAATATTTTCTTTTGTTGAACCATAGCAATTAGAGCCTGAATTTTGGCCTTCACTTTAATTAGTAATCCCTTCTGGTGTGAACTCGATCAGTAATCCACCCTTTCTTGTTGTTTCCCTTTTTCCGTTAGATGGATCATAACACAAAAAGAGCCCAGTTCCCTGCAAATCTAATGGTGCCATCTCATGTGGGTTGTTGTTTGCATTGACGAATAAGTCTTTGTAGCCAAACAAGTACAAGTGAAAAATAACACTTTTCAAATTGTCCGGCGGCATCCATTACCATCGGCTTATATAGCTATTGACTCTTCAAATTTGGTGGTTTGAAACTTTTTGCCCTCAAGTTGAACCCACCGAACCCATCTACAACTCTATTTTAGATTAATTCAATATAATATGGAAAAACGTTAGTCCTTTTAAATGATATAATTTTGTGTCATTTTAAATCTTAACTGTTGATTTTCGTCAATCAACGGTTATGATTTATTGGGTTTTATTACGAATTACTAAATAATTAATAAATTTGATCCAATAAATTCTAACCGTTGATTGACGAAAATCAACGGTTATGATATAAAATGACACAGTTATAACTTTTAAAAGGACAAATATTTTTCCTATATATATATACATATGTACATGTGTGTGATATAGAATCCTTTGACACCGGTGTCAAACTTTAAAATTTGACACCAAATTCTAATCGTTGATTTCCGTCAATCAACAATTATCATTTATTGAGAATTAATAAATTTGACACGAAATAATTTTATCTCCTATGCACACATAAAAAGACGTGAGGCCATGTGAAGAGAAGAGAAGAGAAAAAATAACATAAACTCCACATACTTTTATGTATATATGTATAAGAGATAAAATTATTTCCTCTAACATGAAAAACAGTTATTTATATATATATATATATATATATATATATATATATATATATATATATATATGGCAAAAGTATTTCTACAGCAACTTTAGATAAGCTTATCTACAGCTGTCATTTTTAACTATATTCTCCCGGGAGAATATAGTTATAACGTTAAAGTTGCTCTTTTCTCTCTCTCCTCATTTACTTTTCAGAACTTTTTTGCTGACGTGGAGAGAGAGAAAAGAGCAATTTAACGTTATAACTATATTATCTCGGGAGAATATAGTTAAAAATGAGAGTTGTAGATAAGTTTATCTAAAGTTGCTGTAGAAATGTTTACCCCTATATATATATATACACGTGTGTGTGTGTGTGTGTTAATATCCACTTAAAATGTTTCAAAGATTCACACATATCGCTAGACCTTAACATTCATAA